TTCTGAGTTTCGCTCTTGTTGCCCAGGCTGGAGTGCAGTGGCGCGATCTCGGCTCACTGCAACCTCTGCCTCCTGGGTTCAAGCGATTCTTCTGCCTCAGCCTCCCAAGTAGCTGGGATTACAAGCATGTGCCATTACGCCCGGCCAATTTTTTGTATTTTTTGTAGAGATGAGGTTTCTCCATGTTGGCCAGGCTAGTCTCTAATGCCTGACCTCAGGTGATCCACCTGCCTCGGCCTCCCAAAGTGTTGGGATTATAGGCATGAGCCACTACACCTGGGTGGTTAGTTTCTACCCTCTGACCTGACAAAGAGCCAGAAATCTCTGCAGAATGATTTATTGGGCAAGTTAATGGACAGAAGAGGTATAGTCTGCTGCAGAGGTGACATAAGGGGGACCTAGAACCATATGATAAGACTGAAGGAAGCCAACAGAATGCAGGAACAGGGAGAAATGTCTGGGATTGGAACTGATCAGCAGAACTGGGTTGGGATACATGGAATACAGCAGAGACTCAGTCATCTTTGGGAATATGATAGTTGGTACTCAGGAAAGGGGGGAGACCTGGCTGTCCCCTGGAGGCAAGAGAAAGAAGCTCCAGACTGAAGTTTGCAGCTGAGCACCTGCCTAGGTGTTCCAGAGGCATATGACAGTGAGGATGGAGGAGGCCATGAAGGGCAGGTAGAGGCGGAAGAGCAGGGCGTCCATCGCGTGACTGAACTGCACCCACAGCTCCACCGAGTGCTGCTTCTGGGCCTCATGTTCCCACTGGGCCCTTGTCCATTCTGAGCCCCTTGTCAGCTCTGCCTTCCCAGGGCCTGGCATCTGCCCTGCTGATACCTATGGCTCCTTCACACTTACAGAAAGACAGAGACTCAGCCACGGGCTGCAAATGTCACCTATACAGGGAGGGAGACAGGGAAGGAGGCAGGAGCAGAGAAGTGGAGGTGGGGGAAGGGGAAGTGTGACTTCCCTCACCAGGCAGGTGGGTGGGGGTGAGACCCAGGCCCTTATTTCCCTTCTGGGGTGCAGTGGGACAGCATCTCCCTGGGCTGGTGCAGTGGAGCAGCAGGGAGTGGAGCCACCGAGGCAGGGGTGGGGGATGGGTGGTGGCCACGTGCAGCAGGTGGGTGATGAAGATGGTGTCCAGCAGGCTGCCCACTATCAGGGAGAGGCACAGGGCGAAGTAGACCCCTGGAGGGAAGGGGGGCCTGGTGAGGGCCAGAGGCACCACCTAGAATTTCTTTCTTCTCTTCCAATCCCACCCTGGCAGGCATACGGCCTCCTTTTCCCAGTATACCTCCCTTCCTGAGTTAGTTTCCACTCTTCTCTTCCAAAAGGTGGGAGGAACATCTATACCGATGAGGGGGGTGCCACTGGTGGGGAGCAAGTCATTCATCATAAGCAGGAAGATGTTGTACTCCGGCAGGAGCATTATCTTGAATGGGACACGTTTCCCACTTTTCACTGGCAGTAGAAGCTGAGGGCATCGATGGCAGCCAGAAAGCCACTGGGCATGAGAAGGTTTATGACATAGAGGCTGGGCCTGCACCTGATGGCCACCTGCTGGGGTAGAAGAGGGCGGTAAGTAGTTATGGGGTCAGAGAAACCCTCAGATCCAGGAATGGCAGTGACAGTTTCTGTCTCTGCCGTTTTCTTTGGCCTGATATCACCTGGGATCTGGAGCTGTGTGGAATGCAGCTTTAGAATCTGGTATAGAACCTGTGAAGAGACAGTTAGGCCAGAGCCCTGAGCTTTAGGATGGAGAATGAGGCTGGGAAGCCAGGAGAGAGGGTAACACTGGGAGACCCTGAAACTTGGGAGATACACATTCGATGGACATTCTAGGCAAGTGTAAAAGCGCGGGAGGAAGGAAAGAGCAAGAGCCTCCAAGCTCACATAGAACACAATCTGATCGGCCGGGCGCGGTGGCTCAAGCCTGTAATCCCAGCACTTTGGGAGGCCGAGACGGGCGGATCACGAGGTCAGGAGATCGAGACCATCCTGGCTAACACGGTGAAACCCCGTCTCTACTAAAAAATACAAAAAACTAGCCGGGCGAGGTGGTGGGCGCCTGTAGTCCGAGCTACTCCGGAGGCTGAGGCAGGAGAATGGCGTGAACCTGGGAGGCGGAGCTTGCAGTGAGCTGAGATCCGGCCACTGCACCCCAGCCTTGGTGACAGAGCCAGACTCCGTCTCAAAAAAAAAAAAAAAAAAAAAAGAACACAATCTGATCATACAGGTTGCCTCCCTTGGACAGCTTTGCAGTGGCCTTGTTGATGCCCAGGAGCTCCCATTCTCCATGGGCCTGAAGGATGTCCCAGGATGTGTCTGTTATTTCCCACACTTCTTTCTCCATGTCCAGCAACATGCTGTCCACTGAAAATGAGAACCATCTGAATCATTTTTCAAGGATATAGTTTCCTGGTGGCTCAACTGCTCTCTTTTTCCATCCTTTCTTTCAACAAATAGTTTTGAGTGCCTCCCACATGCCAGGAGACTTGCCAAGAGCTTGGAATGGGAAGAAACAAGACAGACTTGGGTTCTGCCTTTATGAAAAATCTTTTAGCATCCATAGAGCCTTATTCTTCTCCCTACCCATACTCCTTGGTCACAATTTACTCATAGTTTCTTTATATTTGTTGGCTGCTCTCATTCACTCTATCCCTGAGATCCCACTGCAACTCACCTGTATAGAGGAATGAGCTGAAGGTGAGTGTGCAGTTCTGCTGGTCAAAGGGGAAGTAGATGATGTCCAGGTTACAGATACTGTCCACCTTCATGGGTTTCTTATACCTGATGCGACCTTCATTACTTACATATGCTGTAAGGCCTTTTGGGGTCTTATCCACATCCGTGCTGGAGGAGAGATAAGGCAAGAGGCAGGTGCTGCGGTTTCTCTCTCTCTCTTTTTTTTTTTTTTGAGACAGGATCTTGTTCTCTCACCCAGGCTGTAGTAGAGTGGCATGCTTTCAGCTCACTGCAACCTCCACGTCCTGGACTCAAATTATCCTCCTGTCTCAGCCTCAGCCTCCCAAGTAGCTGGGACTACAGGCACACCACCAGGCCTGGCTAATTTTTTTTTTTTTTTAAGAGATGAGGTTTCACCATGTTGCCCAGGCTGGTCTCAAACTCCTGAACTCAAGTGATCCACCCACCTTGGCCTCCCAAAGTGCTGGGATTGCAGGCATGAGCCACTGCGCCCAGCCCAGTTTCTCTTCTTATCTCTCTGGTTGTTTCTTAGCCATCTAAAGAGCACTTACAGTGGCCCCAGTGGTAAACTGTGATCTCTATGGCTACCAGGAGATAGGACGTGACCAGCCCTTGATACGCACAGTTCAATGATGAAAATGTCTGGGAGCCACAGGTTCTTGGCTGCCATACTCATCTTCGTGATGCCCTCACACTCCTCTGGGTTCCAGCTGATAAATGGGTTATCCCAAACCTAGAGCCCAGGTGGAGGAGAGTTGAGAGCCTGAGATGAATTGGAGTTATTTTCTCCTGCCCTTTAATTTCTTCTTTTTTAAAAAAAGTTATGAAATACTTCAAGCATATAGAAAAATATATAAAATATTATGACAAACATATACGTATCTACAACCCAACTTTGTGGCATTAATATTTTATTAAATTTACTTGCTTTTTTTCAAGAGATGAGAATCATAGATAAAATCAAACCTGCCTAGGACTATTTCTTCATGAATTTTGATCAGCCAGCGCTGGTGGTCTAGGAACCACACTTCGAGAGTGAGGTTAGGTAATTGTATTATCTTTCTCCAGCTCCTTCCTTCCTTTCCTCCAAGCAGGCTTTTTTTTTTTTTTTTCTATTCTTTTCTTTTCTTTTTATTTTTATTTTTTGAGATGGAGTCTCGCCCTCACCCAGGCTGGAGTGCAGTGGCGTGATCTCAGCTCACTGATATAGATATAAAACCTCTGCCTCCCGGGTTCAAGCGATTC